AATAGTTTCTTTATATTGTAGGGCCACATCATAATCATATACTAGTAGTATAAACGGTATCACATAACATCAGTATGGGCCCACCGTATCAACTTAGAGGTACCGTGATGAGCTTTATGACCATACAAATGATAATAAGTATAGGCTTTCTGGCTAAATGTGGCCGTTGCAAATTTTATCACCATGCTGGTAATGGTATAGCCTGTCTCGTGACGTTTAGTTATGGCTGCTGTTTTAATGTTGAAGAGCTTGACTTAGGTAGCCAGCATTGATTTATTTACAGATGTTTTGATGTTTTACTTGTGCATTGCTAGATTTTGGTGAAGAGGAAGACAACTAGGTTTTCCTAAGCTTGACAGTAACTGCTGGGTAACTAAAAATATAAGGACGTCTCCTGTCTTATATAAAACAAAATATTTTTTTGCTTTATTGTATATTTTACAACCTGCAGCTAAGAAATATCACGGTGAAAAAATGGGGTAATGTGAACATGACCAATATACAGAACACAGGGTTTAATGTGACGTAGTTCACTTATCACTTCATATCACCCTCAGAATTGTATCAATACATGTTACAGTACATCATTTCTATGCTATATGTTGCATTTGTGCAGCTACGCTTATTAAGTACATGATTCCTTGGTAGTTATACAAACAATCGTTCTTTGTAAACTGGTTCTAAACTGACTAAAACTGTACCGAGACCATGCATGACAATACTACCTTCAAGTCGAACACGGAAAAATTTTAAAATTCTGTTGACAAGTGAACCGTTGTCTCTTGAGTACTGAGTTGTAAGGTCTAGATAGGCAAGATGTACTGTATTATGTCTTGTAAGGAAAAAAGGAAACATCTGGAGTTCTGTACATGAGGAATAAAGCGGGTCATGGGGTCACATATCTGTTGTCTGTGTCTTTTTGTCTTGTCGACCATTCACTGTAACAATATTGTAACAATTCCTAATGACTGTGTTCATGTTATTGTTCCCAAGAATGGTAGTGTTTAAACCTCTCAGAAATCACAAATGTGGCATCTGGCTCAAAATTCTCACTCATAAACGAAACAAACTATCAGGTGTCACGGGATGTAAAACAAAAACTATATCCGCTACGTTACTTGCATTGAATCGCCAAGTCAAGTATTTCCCCTGAATTCTGAGTAACACACTAAGGTATCTTGATCCTGTAAGTGTGTATGTAATATATGTAATACATTATGAAGAACGCAATAAACTTTGTAAGCACAAGAACTCAGTATGTAACAAGAGTTCTGAGATCTCATACCTCCATGAAATATGGGATTGCTTTGTCATACTTCATTTCAACATGTCCTCATTAATTATACAAATAACCTCTAGATAAACATAATACATACATAGTGGTGCAAACCTTTAAGTAACCTACATATGTCACAAGTACAGAATTGCCATCATTCCCCATTAAGAAATCATATAATTTTCGCAATAATTATGCAAATTAGGTCATCATTTGCATAATTGGTATCTGTTGACGCTCTATCTTCCATAGATTACATATATTACATGTATGAAAGCACTATAATGTAATTATAGAATTTCCTCATTAATTATGCAAATTAGGTCCTCATTTGCATAATTTGCATTTAATCGTGTACATCTCTCCCTCAGCTACCTACTTACCAAAAATGATGAAAATATGTTGTTCCTATCTGGACTTATTGGCTTTTAAAGATTTCGCCCGAAAGTCCCCTGCAGTTCCAGAACAAGTTGGTAGGGGGACCAAACTCACACCACTTATTTCTGACAGGAAAAGCTATCTGTCACCAAAAAGTCAAGACCATAGCATGTTCAGGACAAAAGATACAAAAACCGAAGTTCTGCTGCAGTACCAAGGTCATCCACCAGGAGGCCCATATTTGACCTTGACCTTCGTCTTACTAAGACTTACCAACAGACCAAATATCATCACAATCCATAAAGGCGTTCTGAAGTTATGGTGACCACAAAGTTGCGGAAACACACACAGACAGACACACACACAGACAGACACACAGGCATACAGACAGACAAGCCAAAAACAATACCTCCATTTTTCATGGAGGTAACGAAGTGGAGTAGAGTGTACAATGATGCCACCGGATATATACAGCCAGCAGAATAATTACACCAGTTTTATCATATAACTATCTGCATAATGTTGAATTTCGTCGTGTTCGTCTCCGAGTACAGAGTTTACAGGGTGCCCCCATGGATACCGGAGGTACATGAATGGCTGTTTCCGCTTCTGGGGCGGGAAGAGCGCTAAGAGCTACAGCGGTGCCAGGCAGGTCTGTCAGCAGGACGGAGGAGACATCTTTATGTGGAGGGATGCTGATTCTGTAGCTATACTCAAGACCATACTGATCAGGTTAGAAGTTTTTTTTTGTCTTTTTTATAGACTAGTAGGCTTCTATTTAGAGACACAGAAAAAAGTCCCAATGACCGAAATGGAACATGCGTTCTAACTAGTGACCCAAATGGAACATGCGGTCTGACCAGTGACCTAAATGGAACATGTGTTCTGTTTTAATAACCACAGATGTCCCCGATTTGAACATGTAAAACGATCAAAAACACGTACAATATAATTTTGCACATGATACGTTCAGCTTACAAAACTTAAAAAAATATTTACATGCTTTATGATAATAACGTTAATGAACTGCTTTCCTTAGGTATACTACGTCATAATTCATGGTCACGCACTAGGTCGTTTATTCGGTGGTTATAGGACCACGGATTTTGACGCCGTATACACATCAGGGTGGGCCATTAACTCTATATAATCTGTCTATTTCAGCACTGGTGCACCAAGTATGTGGATAGGGCTAAGTAATGAGGACGTGGAGGGGACCTGGCAGTGGGCTGATGGGACGGTCTTGGATGGAAACGACTGGTTCCCCGACCCGCCGGTGAACACGCCCGGGAAGGAATGCGTCGTCGCGCGGAAGTCGACCCAGTACCGCTGGAGGGCCGCAAGGTGCTCCAAGCGGGGGGCCTTGTGAACTTGTGTGTTAATATAAAGGCATCCAATGCGTTTTCAGGACAGGAAAACTGGAAATATGCTAAACAAGAATTCCGAGACATCATACCTCCATGAAATATGGACTTAATGTGTAAATGTAAATTTCTTCTTTAATTATGCAAATTACCTCTGCATTAACATGATATATGCATCATAATGTATGTTAACCCAAGTATGATATTCCCATCATTCACCATTAAGAAATCATAGAATTTGTGCATAAATTATGCAAATTAGGTCATCATTAGCATAACTAGTATCTGTTGATGTTCTGTCTGCCATAGGTTACGTACATTACATGTATGAAAGTAGTATAATGTAAAACACTGTAATTATAGAATTTCCTCATTAATTATGCAAATTAAGTCCTCATTTGCATAATTTGCATTCAATCATGTACATCTTTCTCTCAGCTACCTACACACCAAAAATTATGAAAATATGTTGTTCCTATCTGGACTTATTGGCTTTTAAACATTTCGTCAGAAAGTGCCCTGCAGTTCCAGAACAAGCTGCTAGGGGGACTAAACTCACACCACTTATTCCTGACAGGAAAAGCAATCTGTCACCAAAACATCAAGACCATAGCATGTTCAGGACAAAAGATACAAAAACCGGAAGTTCTGCTGCAGTACCAAGGTCATCCACCAGGAGGCCCATATTTGACCTTGACGTTTGTCTTCCTAAGACTTACCAACATACCAAATATCATCATAATCCATAAAGGCGTTCTGAAGTTTTGCTGACCACAAAGTTGCGGAAACACACAAAGACAGACACACACACAGACAGACAGACAGACAGACATACATACATACAGACAGACACGCCAAAAACAATACCTCCATTTTTCATGGAGGTAATAAGGCAATCTTTCTAATATTAACACATTCTGCTTCACATTGGCACATTTAAATCAGCATTTCATACTTAGGGCATTTAAAACTGCAGAAACAAGCCCCAAGATCAGTCCTTTATTTTCTGGCTGGTACCCTAAAATCAGTCAATGGCCCTTCCAGTAACCGCTTTCCGTCAGAATTTTGGTTTTTTTTTTTGCTCAATATACACTGGGATATTGTGGTTTTGAACTCACTACGTAGATAAATGACAAGAATATTGGCTTTGAAATTTCGGGGTTACAAACCCTAAAAACTGCATTGGATGCCTTTAACAACGTCCGCCGTAAACAGAGTAGATCGATATTTCAAATCTTTTCCTCATACTTTTCCTTTCTTTCTTTCTTTCTTTCTTTTTCTTTCTTTCTTTCTTTGTTTAATTTTCTCCTTGTTTCTTTTTCTTCTTTCTTTCATTTTCTCCTTTTTTCTTCTTTTTCTTTCTTTCTTTCTTTCTTTCTTTCTTTTTTATTCTTTCATTTTCTCCTTCTTTCTTTTTCTTTCTTTCTTTCTTTTTTTCTTTCTTTCTTTCTTTCTTTCTTTCTTTCTTTCTCGTTGTCGTTTTAGTCTTTTCTTTTTTGTAGCCATGCGTTTGCCTAAATGACTGACATCAATTGAGCGAGATTCAGAACAATTTACTTGTAAAATCTGGCTGGAAGGCCTTTGTGTACAATTAGGTTCTGTAGGCAGGTAGGCAGGCAGGTTCTGTAGGAAATCATTACTTCATAGCCAATAGGTCAGTAAGACATTTGATAGCTACGTAGTTTTGCAGTTGACTGTTTTTGTTTTGGTGGTTAGCCATTCAGGTGTCATGAAGACGAAGTTTGTGAGATTGAATCAGTACATAGCACCGATACCAACCAGCCTTGCCACTCACCGTAGATCCGCCAGGTGGTGCCGTTATACAGGGCATTCAGCTGGAAGCAAATTAGTCATACCACGTCACCCCTCCAAATATGGGCAAAGGTATCCTTCCTTCTCAGACTAATATTGGCATCCTTGTGTATATGCATGCGCTTTGACGTTTGTTGTTTTACTGCGTACCTGCTGTCTGCACGGTCGAAATGTACGAGCAGGGAGAGCCTGTCCGGTCGTCTTTCTCCGGCCCCGACAGCCGCAAAACCAGTGAGCCTCCCCAACCCCGTCCCGTCCGGCAGAGTGGTTCACGCGGGCGTGTCCGCCATGGCAACGGCGCTTCTGACAAACAGCGGGAAGATCAGGGCACGTCTTCACACACGTACGAAGACGCCGAGGAGGTGAAACGTTATGCATCGTCTGCAGGTAACCAAGGTTTTTCACACCTGTTTTTTTAGAGTGGTTATTTGTACTATCATACGAGCTTTTTGTTGCAGAGAGTATAACATTACACTTCCCGATTTATTTCATATTTGCTGTATAGGTGAATTTGATGACAATGTTTACATGTTGACGTGATCGATTATCAGTAAGAGAAATATGCTTTTCTACCAGACCGCTCGTATCCGGGTGGAGCGAGCGGCCGCCGGGGTGTCTGTAGCTTCCTCTACGCCCGCCGCAGCAGCCTGGCCGCCAGCATCGCCGTGCTGCTTAGCCTAGGCGCCGTGGGACTCGCCCCTCTGACGTTCAGCAACAAACAAGTAACAGCTTTTTACCATAAAGCTTATTGTCCAGCTATTTTTCTCATTGTCATCATATTTTTAAGAGGGTACAAAATATTTGCTGCTGTTTTTAAATTTCATGTTTGTTTCTTACGTTAGGTATTTTGACATGTGTATACATGTTTGTAGGAAATATCCCAATTGTCGACTACTGTTAACACCATTAAACGTGGCCAAGACGACATGCGCCGTATGTTCACCACTATTAACGCCTTGAAGCGCGACCAAGACGACATGCACCAACTGTCCACTACTGTTGACGCCTTGAAGCGCGACCTGGACAACGAGCGCAGCCGGACCGCCACCTTGGAGCAGCGTCTTGACGAGATTGAGAAGACTTTACGTAAATGGTTTTCTTAGTAGATTTCGGTAGATTCATTGTTGATAATCTATTGCATCATTTGATTCTTTGCCTGTTGCTGATACAAAACGTGCTTTCCAGATCCTTGTCCCGAAAGTTACACCAAGTGGCGTGGAATCTGCTACAAGGCCTTCAACACACGCAAGTCCTTCAATGCGGCGGCGGCGGCCTGTCTTGCAGACGGCGGCACCCTCGCCATGCCCCGAGACGCGGAGACCAACGCCTTCCTGGTCTCCCTGTACAAGTCCTTAGGCGACGGTTGGAGCTTCTGGTTCGGCCTGCACGATCAGCGCGAAGAGGGACGGTTTGAGTGGGTGGACGGTTCTGCACTTGGGTCGTACAGCTCCTGGGCTCCAGGAGAACCGAACAAATATGGGCGCGGCAAGGATTGCGTCCTTTACTCCACGCAATCATTCCTGAAAGACAAGTGGTTCGACTATTACTGCCACCTGCCGTTTTACTTCATATGCCAGACTGCTCCAGGTACGTATTGTATCCTCACTATTTCCTGAAACTCTACCATCTAGTAAAAACGGCACAGCTTAACTATCATTCAGTAAGGCGGTGGAACATCATCACAAACCATGTTTGAACCAAATCAGTCCAAATCTCATCCCTCATAATTCTCATCGTTTTTTGTTTTCAAGGACCTCCATAGGCGACAGGTGGGACTTTCACCACTACTGTACTGCGTCTCCCCGACCATCCGCAGTCAAACTGACTAGGAAAACTTAAGTCTGAAATACTTGTAAAATTTAGGAATAAACTAGTAAGCTTAAACCCTAAAATTGCTAGCAAACCCTAAAATTGGTAAGTCTTGCGAGCGGCGGGCCCTCTCCGATGTAGCGTGTATTAAGCATTGCGAGCGGCGGGCCCTCTCCGATGTAGCGTGTATTAAGCGTTGAATGAAGCTGAATTGTTTTTTTAATGTTACCACAGGTTTGATCTGAAATTTGTGCCTCACTCGCTTGTGCCCCCCACTTCGAACTTTCTCGGCCAGCACACGTTTTGCCACTTGCTACAATTATATATACGGAAGCAAATCACCCATTACTTTTCCAAACTCCTTATCTCAGGAGAATGTTCCACGCAAAAAGCTTCTTTTCTAGAACTACATCACTATGGAACAAGCTTCCCTATGAATGGTCCCCACATGGGTACAACCTCTAACTTTTATAGGTCTAAGGTAAACAAACATCTTTCTTTACAGTCCCTTTTGTAACCCAAAACATGTGAGTGGTTTGCATGAGCCTTGTTTTAAGGTGAAAAGTGTAGTACATAGAAAAATCTGGAAATACTGAATGTAATGTAATGAAAAAGTGCTGTACTATATTGTATTCACGCTTCAGTTTCCACACGGAGAGAATTTACAGTTTACGTTTCATGTTTGTCATTACATGATTTACATATTTATAATCTAGTGTTGTACATTCCAAACAATCTATACATTCCCTTTATTACTTCACCGCCTCCTTCTGTCCAGATCACGGAAAAGGAAACTCCAACTGAGTAATGGGAACAACATAGAGGAAAGTTGCCTAAAAAACTAGAAAAGTAACAGTTACTAGAGAATTCTTAAAAAAAAAAATTGAAAAGCAAATGCAGAATGTTCACCTTTACATGGTCTAGCCTGCTACTGCTCTGTTTATTCTTACGTAAACACAACCACATTCATATATATGGTGACCAGACCCTCCAACTGCCACTTGCTGTATTGCTTTGCAACCAAAGAAGTGGGGAGGGGGGCTTGGTCATATCTGCCACATGTATGTATGTATGACAACGTTGGTGCATGCGCACATGTCTGTAAAAGTCACGAGCATTTACCGATTACAATAAGAATTCCCGCTTATGTTTGAATAGATGTGTTTGATGTTTCTGTCTACCAGCCTAGATTACTTCTTTTTTCACGAAAATGAGTCTGGCTCTTGCATAAAAACAGAATTCCATCGCATCACCTCATGCCACGTCATTCTTCTAAATACGGGCAAATGTAGCCTTACTGTGCCAGACTAATTAAGGTGGTAGTTGCCATATTCATGAATTTTTGCAGTTATACACTGCGCAAGAAGACAGTCTGCACAGTGCAGTCATATCTACAGTACAGACAAAACTCGCCATTATAAGCACATAAAATAGGAACTTATATTCCTAAAGTAAAAAGTTGTCATGATCTGTACATACTAAAATGTTTATTCTTATTCCAACACAAAGATTACACAGAATAGCGCCTCTAGCGACTTTTGTCATATTTGCAGGAAAGACAAAACTCGCCATATGACAAAGCGATAAGCACATAAAGGAGGAACTAATATAAATTTCTAAAGTAACAAGTTATCATAATCTGTACATAGTAAAATGGTGAACTTCATTCCAACACTAGAATAGCGCCTCTAGTGAATTTTGATATATTTGCAGGAAAGACAAAACTCGACATATCATGACCAAGGGATAAGCACATAAAAGAGAAACTAATATTTCTAAAGTAACAAGTTATCATAATCTGTACATGATAAAATGATGAACTTTATTCCAACACAAAGATTACACAGAATAGCGCCTCTAGTGACATTTGTCATATTTGCAGGAAAGACAAAACTCGCCATATCATGACCAAGAGATAAGCACATAAAAGAGAAACTGAATATTTATAAAGTAGCAAGTTATCATAATCTGTACATAGTAAAATGATAAACTTTATTCCAACACAAAGGTTACACAGAATAGCGCCTCTAGCGACTTTTGTCATATTTGCAGGAAAGACAAAACTCGCCATATTATATTTCTATTATAAAATGACCTGGCCTACAAGAAGGTCCCTAAGAAAGAGACCGAAAGGCTCAGTGTATACGTATGTATGCATGTAAATTTGTCAAACACGTATCGCACAGTATGTATACTGGTATACAAACTTTTATTCTTTCTCCATCAAGGTATAAATGTAAGGTTGCTCGTCCTAACTTACGTTCACGATTGGACTATTTTGTGTTAAATGTCTTAAAGCATACACTGAGATCTGATTCAGAATGTGCCTTTGCAGTTTGTACATAGTAAGGCCACAACATCTTAATTTTATGGATGCCATCCTCTGAAGACCCCCCCCCCCAAACTAGCTAGTGCGCGCGGGCGAATTAAAAAAATTCCGACCAAAAATAAAAATGCTACTAAACCACAGGAATACAAAGCTGGTATTGTGAATTTGCGGCAGTTCATAGCGACGTATACGACATGCCGGCACATGCTGGCTTTTTGCGGGATTTACGAATCGGCACTGTACGTATGTACTCATTTCTTGAGTCGTGGAGCTTCGGTAGCCTGCGTGCCCTGCTCCGTATAGTCGCTAAAGCGACGGTCACAACCCGCAGTACGTGCTTCTGCGTGCTGTCTACGTGCAAAAACGTGGGCAAACGTAGGGCATCCGTGCGTGGTGAGTACCGCCTCCGTACGGAATCCCGCGGATTTGGGAGCACGCAGACACGCCGTAGAACTTTAAGTGCATGTAAAACTTTTTCTACGTGCGTGCGAGTACGAGCGACGTGCGTGCCCCGTACGTGCCGTGCGGAAGAAGCACGTGTGAGTACGGCCTCCTTACGGTAAAGTTGCAATCGCACAGAGATCGTACGTTGTAAGCACGTACAACTCACTTACCACTTGCGCAACGTGCAATGCACGCAACCGCTCACGGCCAGACGTAACGTGCAGACCACACTCTTACACCTTGCGCAACCGTGCGATTGACGTGCGAGTGACGTGCGTCGACGCCACTCCTTCCCTACGTTTTCAGAAAATACGTAGCAGACGTAGCCTCCCAAAAAAACCTACGGACAAAAAGCACGTACGGCGGGTTATGATCGTCGCTTTAGTACCAGTACTATGGACTACCCAGGCCAGAGCCTCAGTGGACATGATCTTCTTTTTTTTTTTTAGAACAGGCGAAAATCAATGGATGTCATCCATAAAATTAAGTCGGTGTGGCCTAACTTAGCCTATGTAGAAGTCTACTCAGGTGTGACGTCATGGCGGATGTACCTGTGCAATCCCTTTAGAAATCGCAAGGAGGCATTTCTACCACGATGGCTTGGAACTCGCGTTGGTTATCAGTTGCCCAAATGAGTGTAAAATAGAAATGTTTAATACATTGAAACACAAATGTAATTTTCCCTCTCCATTGCATTCCATTGTCTTATGTGTTATGTTTTGATTTAAACCCAGTATTGTCATTCTATCTATGTAGCTTTCTTATTCATTTGCTTATGTTGCGTACTTTGATTAAACCTTTAATCTATGTCTTCTTAAAGGTGGTATGACACCAATTTTTATTAGCGTTTTCTAACAAGTATCTGCTTTTATCTATTATAACTACTATTTGATGTATTACTATTATCATGATAGCTCAAATGTCAGGGGAAGATTCCGGACAAGCCAGGAAGACTTTTCCCTACCGTAGTATCGTCTTTCGTTGTGCTTATTCTAATTTTACCATTTCCGTTGACTATGTGCTAATAAAAACAAACGAACAAAACAAATGAGCACGCGTGGTAGCTATTGACAACAAAATAAACACTACCCAAAAGAAAGTTAAGCCTCTATCTTAGGGCATATTTGTGTGTGTTTGACAAATTCTGTCTTTGCTTCTCTGAATAATAACACAATCTAGATTGCTTCTACCTGACGCTTCTGAAAGGTTTTCTTCGGATGCGGCAAACTGTAAATATCCAGCAAACCAACTCCCCTGTCATATTTCTCTATTTTGTCACATTTGTACTCTTTCCGAAGCCTGGTAGAGGCTACTCTTCTGACGCTAGGCCGGTTTCTGTAGAACGTAAATTTCTATAGCATTTCTACTATCTTCTTCACACCTGACATCCATACACTCATGACTGAAAATTAGTTTTTCTTAGCGTCCCGTTCCATTGTGTAGCACGTCCTTGGAACCAAACAACCTTTGAACACAATGGACTAATAATCCGCGGAGACAACTGGATTCTGCAATATTCCTAATCACGGTGTTTGTGTCTCCAAATCTGGGGCTAGATTGACGTTTGATACGTTCTGTTTGTCTCCTTGGTGGAGACAATACGGTGTCCCTGCTCCCAGCTGACATCAAACATTTGCTCACATTTTATCTGCACATTCAAACACTGAGCCGACCTCTTATCTCAGGAGGACTTTGCCTAATCTGTTGGACCTCAGGCCGTGCTGTAAAAACAAAGACCAAGGCTTACTTCTAATCACGTTCTCTCGTCTGGTGTATTTGTCGATAGGCCAAAAGGCAGGTGCACCTTTCAATGTAACTCAGGAGGGGGCAAAGATTGAGTGTTACAAAATGTATAGGTGACCCGACAACGGCTCTTCTTCGTGTGTCCAAATAGTTAGTTTGTAAGCCAGTGATGTTCTAGTTTATGATGTATCTGGTTTTCTCGACAAATGCGCACAGTTAGCGGTGTTGCAGGGCAGAAAAGCTATTACCTTCATTTTAAAACAACGAGTTATAAATTACACTAATTGTAGCGGCCATGTAGTTATTTTTGTCCACGCGACTGATATACATATATGTGACCACTTTTCAGCAACGATGTGAACTGTAATGAAGGTTTAATTTATTGTTGGAGATGGTTGATCCTCTGCTATAGCTGAACAGTGTTTTTTATCTTCGACAGTTTACTTTCAATATTCTCAGATTGCATTGCAACAATTCACCCTCCAATACTGAAGTAAAGGAATATAGGCACACCCACACACACATGCACACACACACACCGCATATTCGCGCACACACACAATCACACTCACACAAACCACATAGTCGCACACACATACACACATACACACTTACACGCAAATGTGCACCCGCATAGTAATATGCGCAAATCACATATTTCCGCATGCAAACACATCAAGACACAATACATGCACACGCACACATACACACAAAAATAATAGATACATAACAGACACATATGACTAGATATCCATGTAAATGGAGATCTAGAGAGGGAAATCTAGAATTACTCCTGCCAAGCTCTCAAGCCTGTGACTGATAAAACCTGATTGTTTACATTAATTATTAACTGATCACCTGGAGGTCAGGCTGTATCTGAGCAGGCTGAGTTCAGCACGAGTCTTGTTGGAGTACCGTCAGGAGTCAGCTGTGTGGACAACATGCGTCTCATCTTAGTGTTCACCGTTCTTGGCTGTGTGGGCCTGGGGCGGGCCGCAGACTGCGAACTCAAGTTTAAGGTCCCCACGACTGAGATAGACAGTAAGTGAATTGAAATAATTTTGTAGATTGTGGAGCCACCTAATATGTTGCCGTAATGTTTTGTCATGTCTTGTCATTAGGGCAAGCCCTATGTAATAGCCACTGTCTAATTGTGCTGCCCTGGCTGTGAGGGTTGAGCAGTCAAACCTATAGATAAAATGAAAGTAAAAAGAGTCAAGTTTAAGCCGTAAAACCTTGTTGTTATTTTAAACCTAGCTTTAATATCCCGATCCGATTGGCATGTGTCCCTGGGTGTCTAAGGCACGACCGGGAAGATTCTTTTAGTCTAGGTTTGTGTTAGGTATACAACTAGTACTGGGAGTCAAACGACAACTATAACAGCCTGTTGACGTTACGTTTTAGTGTCTGTCTCTTTTTGAGTGGACTATCACAGTTCAGACTCTATGTAAGTTGTCAGAATTAGTGTCGGCAGTACGGTTGGTTTATGGTTTATTCAATATAAAAAGAAACCTTTGCAGCACCTGTGCTGAATTGTAGTTTTCTATACAAAACACGTCCTTCAAAGTTCAAATATTATCAGGACTGAAATATTAGACATTAAAATTGACAATCATAAGGGGGGAAGTATAAATCCTTGTTAATAAGAAGTCAATAATATTACGCGTCTATTGGAACATAAACGTTTACGTTACTGTCATTTAGCAGACGAGCACACCAAGGCAGTGTACTGTTTATGCTGAGGTCACAATTTCCACACGGTGCCCGGCCGGGCCGATATAAAAGACAATAGAACATACAAAAGTTCTTAATAACAATCATGGGCACTATTTTTGTATATTCTTGATATGAATTGTTAATTTGTAGTTCATACAAACAGCCCGGCCGGGCCCCGGTTCGGAAATGTGACCTATTCATAAGCATACGTTGTGTCCGGTACTAAAACAGTGTCAGTTTCGTGCTGTTCTATTATGGATATTTGTGATGGCAGCCAGGGACGATATTTTCACGGTTGATGTGTTTCCTGTAGACAAACTATGTACGGTCAGCGCCGCGGACAAGAAGAGTATGGACGACGTGAAGAAGACTCTGGACGATGCGAAGAAAGAGATGGACACCATGGAGAAAAACCAACAGGCCTTCTCCTCCAAGATGCAGAGCGACATTCTGACAGAACAGGTGAAAAATCGTCTGTCAAATAAGGAGAGAGAAAGAGAGAGAGAGAGAGAGGTTTATTTGTACCATACAAGTACACACAAAAGCCTGTAAGCAGCCATATTTGGCAGAATTGGGATTGCTTTAAACACAAAATGCGCTTATAGTACAGCTATTTGATAAAAATTCGTTACATTTGATAAAAACCTATCAAGTTTACATTAAAAATTACCACACGTTAAAAGTACAAAGGTGCAATATATAAACAGTTGATTCAATGCTTAATGAATAGATGGATGAATGAATGAATGGCTCATGTTTTGATAGTTCAAACTGAAACCCTCAGTGAACAGAGTGACATTTATATTGACTTGTCTTGTGGGAATTTAAGGACCAAGTTTAGCGTGTGTTGATAGACGTACAGTGTGATATAATCAGTTCCGATGAGTGGTCAGTTCTGATATTTGATATCTAGTAAGCTTTTATTCTAGAAATTAATTAAAATCTTTAATGTGAAAGAAGAAGTTTTATATAACTGTGTTTATAATTGTATGTACATGCATTTATTTTATTCCAAGAGGCTCTCCCAGGATGGAGGGATAAAGAATGGAAATGAATGAATGAATGAATGAATGAATGAATGAAATATCTTACTAAAACTATGCAGACTATAATGTGAACTACCACGTACAGGATCAACTTCATCTAGCTTCTGAAGGCAGTTGTAGATGAATGAGCATATAAGGTTTATGAAAAATAATTTGTGTAGAAAAGTATCTTACATACGAGAATAGAGGATATTTTTCTTAGGAACACCTACTTCAGTAACCGAGATGTGTTCAGGACGATGTCCCAGAAAATGACAGACAGAATCATCGTCATGTCATCAACAGAATACTTTTAGACACAAAACGTGAAATGTCGTTCAGATTTTGCAGTAAATATTCATGAAATGACCGTTACGCTATTCTTTTTTATATTTCAGGTTGAGCGAACGAAAGTCAAAGGCCAGATCATGTCACTGAAGCAAAAACTGAATGAGGTAAAGTTGTCATTTACTGTATGGTTTTGAAGTAAACAGAATTAACCATCAAAATTCATTTATTGAACATAAGATTCAACTCACCCCACTTGCCGTTGTTTACGATGTATTGTCTGGATGTAAAATATGTAAAACTCATGATGTTGTAATAGGACTGTAATAGGCATATAATGTTTAGTTATGCAGTTTTTTTGTCCACCCGACAGGCCCAGAAGAAAAATGACGAGCTGAAAAAGCTGGTTGAAGACAGGGAGAATGAGTTGAAGACCGTACAGGCGGATCTTGCCAAGGTACGTATACTAGATATTAGACTTGTCAATGTTCCTCTGGTTCTCTATTACGTATGGCACTTTAAATTGTGCTATCTTAGAACTCAGCAAACTATGAAACTTTATTCGAATAACCATTAGCGATGGACCCAATGAATTTATAGAATGTTCTCATTGATTATGCAGATTAGATCCTGATTGTCATAATTACCATGTAGTTATCACCTTCTAAAAGCTACCTACATACAAGAAATCACAACGATCCGCCGTAAAAGACATTTGATTAAACGCCTCTGCAGTTAAGTAACAAGCTGCCAGGAGATGCAAATTCATATCGTTTTTGACACAAGAGCTATTTACCATTAAACATGCATGACCCTAGGATGTACAGATCACAAGATACCAAACCCACATACACACATACATACATCCATATACACGTGCATTACATTCATACACATTCCACCAAAATTCATTACAATTATCGCACTAAACCACACACACACACACACACACACACACACACACACACACATACACACACATACACACAAAAACGCTACCAAAAGCATAACGTTAACCTTCTAACGTAGGCATTATGAGGTACATGTAGCTGAATCGGTATCTGTTATTGTGTGTGCCAACAGTACAAGCTAGGATTGACTATCCTACTGTTTGCTAGATTATTCGAAAAGACTACACATTGTCTTACACGATGAAATATCATATTAAACACAAAAGAATGCTGGCATTTATGTTGATTCGTAAGCCAAATCTAGGGACAAAGAGTCAAATTCTAATTCTTGTTCAAGTGCTAGAGAGTGGATGGTGACTTAATAGTCTCGAACTTGTGCTCCTTAGGCCACCGACACGTACAACCGAGCCCAGACTATCCTGAAGTCTGCGACGTACCGGGCCTCCGAGATCCACCTCGCCCTCAACCCCGAGGACTGGGACCCGTTCTCCACGGACGACCCCGACTTCTACCAGGGCCCTGAGGACGCCGTGGAGGGGGAGAAAGAGGAGGAGGAGACTTCTGAGGGGGAGGAGGGTTCTGAGGAAAGCGAGGAAACAGACGAAGATTCCAGTGAAGATGTAGACGAGGTCCTGCCTGCCTTGGAGAGGTTCTTGGCTGAACATGACATCTGAAACAAAAGAAATGTCTTGCTGTAAAAATTCACTCGTTCTAAGCGTACATATTACATACATTTAATCTACACCATTTGTGTCGAATAGCAGTCTAGTCAGAGTTGATCGTCTAGGTTATTTTTCTGAATAAAAACTCGTCGGCATATTTTATCACTAACAGAAGCTTCTGCATGTTAGAATGTTTGAATTCGCTTTCAGACAAGTATGCCAATCCACACGTTAAAATTAATAAAACACAGAATGTAGTTCATGAATTTCTCTCTGTATCCATTCATTTTCGTCTGAAAATACAAACTTTCAGAGACAGATGACTTCTATCCCCATTTAAATAAAAGTCGTATTCGAAAATTCAAAATCTGTTTTTACGTACGTTCATTTTTTAGTTTCATCTTCCAATAGTACACCGATTGAATGTTGCTGTGGATAGAGAACCGTTAACATGTATGTAAAACTGACTTCGACCAAAACAAGCTGACCACAACAAACATACACATACTAAAAGTAGGAATAAAGGACATACAGTGAAAGGGCATCTAATGCTGATATCGTATGGATTCAAAACTATTCTGATACAAATTTTCGGCTTCTTCTCGTCTCTCAATATAGATTGAGATGGGTATGTTTGAAGTAAAATGGTCAAAACGCATACGAAAATTTTTGAGCACCAATAAGTTAATATGTGACTACCGAAAGACGTTAAAACAATTGGGGGTGGGGGGTGTCTACATCTGGGGTAATATCTAACTTTTAACAGTGACGCCTATACTAAAGTGCCATTAATTAAAGTTGTATCAGAATATATATAAAAACGATCATACGTGCGGTTATATGTTGTCGGTAATTATAATAACGCATGGAAGTTGTAGCAATGCTCGGATAAAATGATAAACACCAGTAGGCGTTTGACCATCGAAAACAAAGCTGTAAATAAATAAAATGTTATCGTAATTGTAAATGAAAATGATATTTTAGCTGGAGCTGTTATCATACAAATTATTTAGTAAATGTTTGCAACAAGATGACGTCCGAACAGTAGGTTCATGTGGCGTAACGGTAGCTTGTACGTTGGAGTGACGCCCACCGAGCCTCTTCGGCTAATCTGTCAAAATATGTGCCAAAACACACTATGGATTTGTTGTGCCAATGTGTCAACATCTGCACATTTGCCACCAAGTGCCGTAAAAAAACGGTAGAGTGTTCGTCTTAAAACCAAGAGGTCCCGGCTTAGAATTCCGCTATGTCACCGATACTTGTGTCCTTGGGAAAATCACACGATATTCCTCACTTTACTCATGTAAAAATTAGTACTGTATTGTCCTCTGTGCTGGTAGCGACAAAAATAAGTCTACACGTACGCGTCTTGTGATTACATAATTTGGTAATATAAAAGAACAGTATGTATCGGCTCAGATACATACTGTTCTTAACTTACAGATACTGTTCTTTCAAAACACGTTTTACTCCGGTATCTCCAGCCTGAGCGCGCTACAAGTTTGCCCATCTTTGAGTGAAGACAAACAAGCAGAACCAATCAGTCGGTGTTTACCTGATCAGAGGACTTCGCCCCAACAATCTGGCCGCAGCAGTGCGGAGTGTGTACGGGTCTAGAGGGAAGATCAGACCGACAGAATCATGAAGACCCTCGTAGCTGCCGTGTTCGTGACGATTCTGGCTTCGGTATGGGCGGCGGACCAGCCGAATCTGGAGGTGAAGGAAGTCAACAACAAGTGTGTGTGGACTCTGATGACAGATGTGCCAAAAACAGGAGGTACGGTATCAACACTTTTTACACCACAGGATTCGGGCTAGGTGGGTACTACTGAGAACTAGCCGTATACATGATACACGGTAAGGTATGGACCTGTCTTATAGATCTAAACAAGGCAAATGTAACACGATATATGTATATGTGAACTGTTGGTGACACACGAAAGTCTCTATAGTTTGTCCGTGTACAACAGAGTAGAACGTTAGCTTTGGTTTTGTAGATTTTTCGTAGGAATTCACACAGATTCACACAATTCATGCGCACCTACACACAAACATACACTCACACAGACGCGCGCACACACACAGTCACACATACACACACACACACAGAGTCACGCACACACACACACACATACATGCACAGGCACACATACACGCACACACATACACACACACACACACACAAACACACACACAAACACACACACAGTCACACACAAACACACACACACACACACACACACATACAGACACCTGTATATACTAGTATACAATGTCATATATACAATACATGCTGCTTTCACATTGTTGGTAAGCTTAGAGTTTAAATGTGTACCTTCTATACGTTTCGATGCACCTGATTTGTCAATATAAAGATGTAAAATTTGAGAAGCATGATTATACAAAATGCACCTTCTGAATAGAAATCCAGATTGATGGCACAAATTAACATTGATAAAACGTTCTTCTGTGATATGTAATGAATGCATTCGGTAGGTTCTTTTTGGAGCTGAAAATGCGTGTCTCTAGGCATCATAGTAAGCTAATCTGACCATGCATGTCCCTCCCGGCAGGTTGTCCGGCCACCTTCCCCGGTAAGGCCACCTTACAGAAGTACGCCGGGGCCGTGAAGGACATGACTGCCAGGTCCAAAAAGCTGGAAGAGGACGCCAAATCTGCGAATGCACCTGTGACAAACCGCATCACGCAAGCTCTGATTGAGAGGTAGGTTTTAATGTTTACTCGTTTAAAAGGGAATGAAAACAAATCGAAAAGCAGTAGGGTAACTATGTGAACTTCTAAAATGCAAGAGTATCAAAACAGATACATTGACGGACGTTTCGAAACCATATTCAAATGTACTGCAAGTGTACAGCAACCTATGTACCAACGTTCATATCTGAATTGAATAGGAGAAAGAGTTATAATAATATTTTGCCGTATTTTGAAAAAATATTTCCATACAAAAAACAGTATACCAACTGAGAAAATGATTGTTTGAAATATGTCACACGTAACAAAAAGATAATGAAGTAATAAAGTAATTAGCAGTTATGTTTTTTTCGCTAATCAGATATAGAAGCTCAATATGTAATCCATGTGTTTCTAGATCAGATTGTTGGAGATATTTCTCTTGTCAATCAGTCATAGAAGTAATTCTTGTTCTGTATAGCTTTATCTATCACCTGGTTAGCATTAGTATTATCTAATGTCTTGGGGTGGTTGGACTTCGGCGAACTGTTATGTCAACTCACTGTGTTTTATTTTTAATATATGTTAATTGTATTTTTTTGTGTGGCACTGTTAAAATAAGTTTAAAAACTTGAGTGCACATGGTCCTTGTTATTGTATTGTTATGTGTTAATGAATAAAAAAAAAGTATAAGAAGACTCGAAAAGAAACGGCCGGAAGGCTAAACATATTGCTTCTCCCTGTTAGAACGGAGGCTGAACAGGAAGTGAACGAAATCACCGCCGCCATCACGAACATCGAGAATTCCAACAAAGCGTTGACTCAGAAGGTTTCCGGCCTTTCTGCGCAGATCAGAACTCTAACTGGGAAGGTAGGTCTCCCGTGCTCTAACAGATCTAACCATATCCATTTCCTTAGCCTTTGTGCAGGGCACTACAGCAGGGGGCTAGTCCGCTGGTAGTGCTGTGTGTTTGACCTAAGTGCTAAGCAAAGAAAGAAGTGTGTACCATTTTTAAAGTCTTTGGTATGACTTGGGGCAACCTATTTTTGAACCTAGGTAGCCCAGTGTGCTACCTGAATTTTAAGAATGCCCCCCCCCCCTACGAAATCTTGCGCACTTGGCTTGCACCACTGTAGCCTGCAGATGCTTTTTAATTTGATGTATTAATGGCTATTACTAGTATTAGTTAACTAAAAGCTGTTAAAAATATTGTCAAAGGCTTATATGTAACATTACTTGATTTGAGGAAACTTATAGCTATATAGGTAGGGCAACCTGAAATTCTGATGGGCAACCTAATTTTTGGCGTTGGGCAACTTGGTTCAAAAAAGTATTTTGTACACTGTTAACACAAACCATATCTACATTCCTAAAGTTTGAAATCTATGACTTCTTTTTTCAGATGACTTCCCTTGAAACTTTAGTCAGCAAGCTGGTGCCATGAGTCAGCGGCTGAGATGTGCCGTGCGTGAGAACAACCGACTCCGTGTCAAGCCCAGGCAGTTTTCTGTTAGAACATTGTGTAACCAATAAATGTGCTATAAAACTACAACCTGTCTCGATTCTTTCATTCTGTATTGAATAAAGAATGGTTCAAACAAACAAATGTTGTGCTAATGTTGTGCTCTTGAAAATACTGTAATAATATTATACACCTTTTGTATTCTTAAACTAGACTTTGAACATTACAAATGTATATGGTTATGGGATGTTTTGTCTAGAAGTCAATATGTTAGTGTACAAATGGATAATATCAAAAGCGTTAATTGACAAGTAGTAGACGTCATCTTTCTATCTTGAAAAAAAATCCAGGTAAAACAGCTAAATGTTCACATAGAACCATTCACACAGAAATGTTTAGGCCCGTTTTATTTTGTACACAAACAGTACACATGTCACACGCATAACAAACTCACACACGCACATACATTCATTCAGACAGACAGAAGGAAAGAAAAAAACAAAGCAACATATACATTAATGCACACCATACTTATACAGGCATATGCACACACAAACACACACACCTGCACACACCAACACACACACAAATACACACACACACACACACACACACACAAACACATACGCACACACACAGACACACACATACACACAAACACACAAACACATACGCACGCACACACACACACACACACACACACACATATATTATATATTTCAATTGAAATACCAAGGAGGTTTAAAAGTCGAGGACGTTTAAGGTTTTAAATTCCCGAGGTCATAGCGATGTCAAGGTTGTGTTATTTTGTTATTTTTCTCTCATCAATGGACACAAAGTCCGTCCTATGGAGGTCGTGATTGGGTCAGTTCAGGTGACAAGGTCAGAGTGTGGACATACGTATGACAGCTGTGGCCTTCGTGGGAACAAAAGCGACTTGTCATAATGTCCACTCAACGAAACACATGTAATCTCAAATTGTACTCTCTGTGGTGTAGCAATGAACGAAATGAACTTTTTGACGCAGCCTCCAGATTCTAGCCTAACTTTCACACATATACAGATGAAAGCTACTCTTCTCTCATACGAAAACCCACACATTACAGAAAACTAGTGGGTTCTTTTGTCTTCCTCTGTCTTCAAAAAAAGAACTCAAACCCAGTAGATTTAGGAGTTACGGTAGTTTTTCTTTATTTTTTATTTCCTTTGTCTAGTTATGTGCGTGTATTACTTGCTTGTACTTATATCAAATGTTCCTTTTGTATCTGCAATTGGCCCTAGGGCATGGGTTTGCAATAAACAATTAATTCAACGGAATATGAAGACGAAAATATCAACAATAAATCATATGTCTACAAAAAATAATGTAGTGATTATGGGCAACTTTATGTGAGCGTGTGCTTTCTTGTCATGCATTTTATTGCACAATACACATGATACATGTTACTTTAGATACAAACCACGTCAAAGCTTTGCAGGTGAGCACTCTAGCGAATTTCATACAAACTGCAGCGGCTATTGTACCGTACCGGTGGCCTCTACGTCACCACATGCGTACTGCAGAGTGAGCTAGCGTTCCCCCACAGGACCAGACTACTCTGATCTAGGACCGTGCCGAGGTTGTGGATTTGTCGTGCGACCATGAAGTCACTCGTGGTTTTTGTCTTGAGTTTGTTGGCTGTGGCGCTGGCCCAAACTCCCAACCCGCCCAACTTTGCGGTCAAAGAAGAAAACGGGAAATGCTTGTGGTCGATCGCTACTGACAAACCAACAGGTGAGGTTGTCTCAGTACCATTCGTAACGCCACAAATACTGTTACAAGGCTTCGCTGTCTTTATTTCGATGCCCTTTAGCCTAAAGGCTTATCTTCCACGGTTCGTACAAAATTAAAAACATATACAACAGATAACATGGTATAAAACATACATTTGGCACAAAAAATTGTATTATGTACAAATGAAAGGAACATAATCTGCTAGTTACAGAACTCACGTTATATAAACATTTGGCGGGTGGCTTTTTTTTTAAAGTTGGATGTACTGGAAAGTGTTTTGTTTTGTTGTGATAATTTGTTCCAAAGGTGGGGTTGCCCAGTACTGACTTGTTCCCTTTTTACTTTTTTTTTAAATTTTGGAAACATGAAACTGTTGGAAGCTGAAAATCTGGTTGAATATTTGTGGATGTTGGTGTGTGTAGTAGTACACCACAAAGCTGCAGCCATTTAAGTATTTTAACCATTGTGTTCTGCAACACCCAGACCTCGGTATTACAGGAGTTGTTAGGAATAACTTGTTTGGTACAGTGGTGGTTGCTAGTAAAGGTCTATCGGACGTAATGTTTAGTTTCGTTGCGTTTCATACCAGCCATTTTATTGTCATACTCGTACATTCATGTATCTAATAGCTACTTGTGAAACAATTTTCCAACGCACATATCAATTTTTCCTACTATTTGTTACGAAAACCTGGGACGTACATGTGTAGGTAATGCATTTTTATCCACAAGAGTGTGATAGTGGTCAGTCAATATAATTGATGTTTGTTTGTTTGTTTGTTTATTTTTATTTGTAAATAAGTCCAAACCCCCGTTACCTCCTCAGTTTAATTGTGCGCTGAAAGAAAAATGTTCCTTCGTATTTAATTCAGATGAAAGCCCCGGTAACATACGGCGGAATCTACCTATAGCTGCGTCCTAGCGCCGGAACTTTATTTGTGCTTAAACATATAAAGCCGTGGTCCCCGTACCTAGGTAAAATCATCCGTCGCCGAGCGCCCTCTGGCGGAAAATACAGCTGTAAATTCACTAATGGCTGTGCAGCATGAAAATAGCTCGAAACAATCGTAAACAGTGGAAAATTGTTGAACATCCCATGTTGGTGGATGAAGATGGTTTCACCTGGGATTCGTAACACTACAGATTGTTATCTTACGATGTGTATGGCCGGGGATTGAAGTAAATATTGAAATTAAAGGCGCTAGCCATGCCTTCTTTAAAGTTTAGGAATGTTTGACTGTCACTGCTAATTTCCAAGCGGATCTTTGGTGGCTAGCTGCAAAGTTCAAAATGGTAACTGTCTGGCCAATGGATACAGCTTGGCCAATTTGATTCTGTCTTTGCAGGCACGAAATATGTGCTTGGATATTAGTCACTGCGATCTTGTGAGAGTATAATTGTAATGTTAGTTTAGTTCAAGAGCCTTCCCACGCATAGGGCGGCGCCCATCTCCGCTTTCAATAGCCCTGGGCCACACACAGAAGTCACTGAAGTAGGGGGCTATTGGTGTACAGTGTGTACCATTTCAAAGTCTGTAGTATGACTTAGCCGGGGATCGAACTCACGACCTATAATATGTACCATTTTAAAGTCTTTATTATGACTCGGTCGGGGATCGAACTCAAGACCTATACAGAATGCAAGGCGAGCACTCTACCCACTTGGCCATTGTGATGCTTCATACTAAATGACGTTATTTTTGGTGTTTTGGAACAAAGGCGGCTGCACCAAGACAAACCAGCCAGGACCGCTCATGAAGGACATCAAAACGGCGACCGCCGGGGAGACGGCCAGACTGGCCAAGATGACCTCTCAGATACCGCTGGACAAAGCCGTCATCCAGAACAGAATCACCATGACGGAAGTGGCACGGTAAGTCTGATGGACATGGATTGTCTCTTACTTCATACATCAAAGCAGTACAGATAATTTTTATTACCTTCGCCAAGAAGGTTATGTTTTCCATAGCGTTGTGTGTGTGTATGTGTGCCGGTGTATGTGTGTGTATGTGTGTGTGTGTGTGTGTGTGTATGTGTGTGTCTGTTTGTGTGTGTGTGTGTGTGTTGTGTGTGTGTGTGTGTGTGTGTTGTTTGTGTGTGTGTGTGTGTGTGTGTGTGTGTGTGTGTGTGTGTGTGTGTGTGTGTGTGTGTGTGTGTGTGTGTGTGTGTGTGTGTGTGTGTGTGTGTGTGTGTGTGTGTGTGTGTGTGTGTGTGTGTGTTAATGTTTAAATGGATTGTTATAAAACTTGGTAGGTACGAGTAGGTAGGTCTTCATGAGTCCTAGAAATGATCAGAATTTGGTACTGCAGCATAATTTTTGGTTTTGATATCTCGTGATCTGGACATGCTAGGGTCACGAAATTTGGATGGTACGAGATAGCTCTCGGGCAAATATTTCTAATGAATTTAGGCAAACCTTCGATTATTTCACATCTGTTCTTACCTTTTCACCATTACTAAGAAGAGAGAGGACTACTTAGTTGTAGTTACTAGACAATGTATATATGTAACGTTATCTCGGCATAAGGCCACAGCATGTAAATTCTATGGATGACATCTTCCTCAGACTCCAAATCCAATACGAGCGGGCGAAGAGAAAACAAGACAGGCCGAAAAAACAAGGTTCCTATATTGTAAAATTTTGATTCAATCATTGTACAAATGGTTCTGATTCAATGGGAACATCACATACACAGCCAACATCGCATATCACTGCATCAAAGTAAGAAACAAAACAAATCAGAACCTTTTATTGTCTCCTCTCTTCATAGTTATCTGCCATCCACCTTCCAGCATGGCAACAGACGTCTTTGCCCGTTTTCGGCATGTTGACCACTGTCAGAATGCAACAAAATTTCTTTTTTTTTTCCAAAATTAGGCGAATATTAATGCGAGCGCTGATGTCATCCATAAAAATTACTTTCTGTGGCCTAAGATACTGAGTACAGATTTGTGACTGTGACCTGTTCCCTACAGACTGACTCTGGAGTCACAAGTGACGGTGATGGAGAGTCAGCTTAACGCGCTGGAGAAGGAGAACAAGGCTCTAAACCTGAGGCTGAACGGGGACCCCGCCGACCCCAAGAAAATCGGAATAGCGAAAGCCATTCAGAATTACGGCCTACTGGTAAGAAATATCAAAACTCTTTCATTATTTTTTTTTAATCTGGATATTTTCTGCCATGTTTCCGAAAGGTTTATGGTTTATGGTAAGTGAACATAACAACAGACAAACATAGATGAATAAACAACTAGAGAAGTCATAACATTTGCAAAGCAAATGCATAATGTACTACATGTTACATGTACTACTAGTATATGATGACAGGAGCAGAGCAGACCATGAAATTGCAACATAATGTAACCCAACACCAGTCACCATGGTGACAGACGTCAACAAATCATGTCATTGGTCAGGTCAGAGGTCACTATTTGGAGAAGAAGAGGAAGAAACTGAGCAAAAACAATATGTTTTCCTTCGGTAAACATAAATAGATGAATGGACGAATGGCTTGGACAAACCCTGATCTAAGTGCAATGTACTAATGTCGGCAGGCTCCAGATGATACAACACGGACTATCTTTCAATGCTTCCTGTGTATTGCTTATGTATGCTTCATTTGACATGTACAAAATATAAATCTCAGATTTTGCATTGCAGGTGGATAAGTTGGCTACAGCAACGGATACACTTCTGAAGAAACCATAGGACCGTACAACCTCTGAAACTACTGCATTTATCCGGCTTGTGCCGAGTGCCATCTAATAATATGGCCATGTAATAGAAGTACTAATGTTCCAGATTCAGCTGGAGTCACGACACTACATCTGCTTGACTCTGAAACAGAAATAAACGTATACTACCTTATCAAATATGTCTGGAGTGTGAATTATATTCTGGAGATTGTTATGTGTGTTTGTTTGTTTGTTTGTTTGTTCGTTTGTTTGTTGGTTGGTTGATCATTAACCTGTACACCAACAAGAATTAGATGGTCGGCGAGGCTGGAATCGTAGAAAAACTGCTCATTTTATCATTAAATGAAAAGTTATGGCTGATTTTTCCTTTGAAATCATCTCAAAAACGCAGGAAATGCCATTTTAGAAGGCTCAATTTTCAAAATTTGCCGGGGGAGCATGCCCACGGAGCCCCTAGGAAACTCGCTGGTCCCTCCGATCTTGGGAAGACCCCCC